TATGATGCAATCCTTATTTCCCTTGCCAGTGCAGTTATTGTCCTTCATAAGCGGTGACAAGAAACTTACTAAGTCATCGCTTCTGTCTTCAATAACTGACCAGTTTCGAGAGCTTATATCTCTGTTGAATTGGATGACTGCGGTTTGGTCTGTGCACATAGGTTAGAATTTTCTCTTGGTTGCTAGCACAACATCTTCTCAGGGTTGGAATGAGTTGATGCGTAATTTATCAAAAAAGTGCTTCAGAAGTAGCGTTTTCGTGGTAACATCATGAAATTTTCTCAACCTTAATCATTCGAGCATCCAGCTGATAATTAAAGCAACTGAAAGCCAGGTATTTAGCACTAGCTTGACTTGACCTCAAACTACTTTTGAGTTGATCCAAAATGATACCAGGTGGCTTGATTCCATTTCGTTTTCATGATATTCTTTCAGAATTTGTTCATGTTATCCTGTTTCGAACTGTGTGATTGGATATGGGCATTGAAAGCTCATGTTTATGCGAATATTTGTTTGATTGTTTTATTGCGTTGTTGTTGTTTAAGTGATTATTTTGGGTTGCTGTTTATGTGATTGTTTCATGTTTTCGTGCGTTCATCGCCGTGTTCATCCTTTCGTTCATCATTATCGTGTTTTTGATGCCGTCACGTCAGGCATGATGGAAAGAGACATTACTAGGCATGGTTTGGTGGCGTTCCATGAGCGAGGTAAAATCTCAAAGTGCATGGGGGCCCCGCACAAACCCCCGGGTACAATTCGACGTCACATACTAGGGTCAGGCCCTAATTTGATGCTCTTGTCAGGAAGTAAGCTCACAGCTTTGTTGAGATCACGATAAATTTGAAAATACGAATGGTGCGTGGCGTGACGGATGTATAAATGTTTTTCCACGTGTTACCACACATTACACTGACAGTATTCTCAGTTTCAGTGAGTTTGGAATTGTCATGACGGCAGCTATTGGTTGTGGTCTTACCACGATTGTTTGCATCGCAGTTAGGAAAGAAAATAACGAAAGGATTTTCGAAATATCGATCTGAGAAACAATTTTGAAAATGTGCTAATGCAAGAAACTTTTAGTGATATAGCAAGACATGACTGAAATGATTAATCCTAGATTGAGGAACATTTCATGAGAAGATCGTCACACATACTTTAAAGCATAATAAGACAAATGTCGAGGAATGAATTAAATTCATGATGGTATGATATGGAGAAACAAGTGTGAAGTCTCGAATAGGATGGTGGATTCTCTTAAAAAGAAACAGAGTTTGTGAGAGACAATTCTTCAAATGTCGTTTAGCACAGAATAGGAATGGAAAAGCGATACGACGAATAGGGCATTCATGACATGGCCTTTAATGCATGCGAAGGTAAATCCTATCAGAAGGCTTAAATGACCATCAGTGTTTGATAATTACGCGCAGAAAGAGCTGCCGTCTATGACTTCTGCTCAATTTTTTTCCTGTAGAGTGCGTTTCATCGAGAAAATGTTCTGCATTTCTGTTCGGACGCCGTGGGTGAGGTTTCTATCAGAATCTTGTACAGTATCTGGACAGCGGTTCTGCATTTACATGATCATCTTTCTTTCTATCAAACAAAAAATGGGTTAGGTAATTCGTGGACGTAACCACGCAATAACGGTGGAAATTGGGATGGTGGATTGCTGAAGTTGGACGTCACTTCATTCTCTTACTTAGAAGGAGCCTCTGGGACGTCAGGCCACCGTCGGGCAACTTTGCTTACATTCGTACAAGTAGCTGATTTCTTGAAGGTACCTCATTGGCTCGGCAGCGCTCGTTTCAATACACTGTATCTCTACTGATCGACACGTGCATTAGCATAGTTGTATGGGAGGCACCATTTCCAGACAATCTGTCTTCCCAGGTTTACCCAGTAACACGGTGTTATTTCCACACTGTCGAATTCCTGATTCTTTACTTTCANAAAAACATAAATGTTGTTGGGCAACTTTGCTTACTACAAGTATTGTCGATTTTCTTATTTGATGTCACGTATCTGAACCGCCCATTCCTATACATCAGAGTTTCCTCATCGCGGATCCAAAGACCCCTGGGGAGATGGATAATATGCACGTATATGTATAGTACATTTTACATTTTACTCATTTATTTATCAATTCGCGAGAAAAACATCCCAAAAATGTACATGGAAGAAGTGAGACGAAACCAAATCAAATGATAACGGTTCGCAGAGAATAACATTTGATTTCTCCGTAGAACTTCTACGGAAATTTGTTTTCATGTCGTTTTTCTTAAAATAAACTGTTTTTTCAAATTTTCTCAACAAAATAAATGAATAAAACGACAATACAGAGCCAGCGCATTATGCAAGTGAACAAAATGAATATGAATTTCATTCATAAAAGGGGATGATAGATTAACATTTTCAGTAAAGATTTTGTATGTACGTACGCTCAAATGAAACATTGAAATTAGAAGTACTTCAAATGAGTCCGAAGCAACATATTCAAGAGTTTGTATGTATATTCAGTGAATTGCATCACTCACTCGCCATAGTTGTTCTTGAAGCATTAGCGCCGCCAATACCGTCTTCGTTCAACGTTGGTCACGATTCGCTGAAAAGCCTTATTTCACACATCTCCTAAATAGATCAGTATAATCAAACTCATGACTCTTATTATGTTGATGTGCTCAAGCGAGGAGCCGAATGATTTTGCTGCTATCATCACTTTGACGTTACTGAATCTGAATATCATTAAAAATTTGAGATTGCGATGCGATAGAGTTCATTTGAATTTTGGAATGACTGTGCTGTTATTTAGTAGCAGTAGCGAATTAAGACCTTTGAAAAAGACCATAATGAGAATAAAGTAGAAATTGAATTAATAATAGCACCTTTCATGATCATTATAAAGTCTCATCATCATCATCATAATCAATGAACAAAATAGAGTGAAACTGAGAAAATTAACTGAATCAATCAATTAAAATGAATGATATGTACTATAATCAGTCATTGTTGTATCTGTACAAAAGAAGAAATGGAAAAGATACAACAAAACTGAATGATCATAATGATAATGAAAAGAAAATAAATATAAATAATGCATCATGGAATTGAGGAACACAAAATCATTGATTATGATAGTAATAAAATGCAACTTTCTTCATTCTTTCAAATGTATTAAAGACACACCATTTGATTGGGCTGTAGAATCGGTGAAAGAAGAGAGATAAAGTGATAAATGAACGATTACATGATAGAAGTTACAAATCATGATGAAATACAAACGATATGGATAATCATAAATGTAAAAAAAATACTAAAGAAATAAACAGTGATATTATCATACAACAATAATAACATAAAAGTTGTATAATCGCGTTAATCAATGAAAACAAATACAAAACAGTCATAATTCACTCGTGGTTATCCTAAACATAGAGAATAAATTTCTTGGTTGGTCGACTACTATTTCACATTCATGACTTCACTTCACATCCAATATCAACTAACAGATTCCATTCTTTATTATTATAAATGATACCAATAATAATAATAATAATAATAAATAATAATAATAATAACAGTATCATGATACTAATAATTCAACTGAATTAACTCATTCATTAATCCACATAATTTCATTCAAAGTTGAATGAATTAAACCATAAACAAACAAGCACATTATACCAGCAAATTAAACTCACCTATTATTCACAAAATTCCATGTGTTATACTAAGACATTAACCATGTGAACAATAGAAGTATTGAAATATAACAATAATAATCAACGATATTATAGGCAATATGATAAAGACTAAATGGCACACAATTCGCTTAGCAAAGACGTCGTCTTGCCATCGTTAATTATGCCCACATTGAGCAAAATGCTTTCCAATATCAACCACTAGACATTCTCTTCAAGCGCACATATTCTCGTCTACGTCACGTATCTTCATCAACCACATCATCTTTGCAAATGAGTCAATATTCACGAAAAATATTCACATCCATTAAACGTTCGATGATGTTAACATATTGATCATATTCTCGTTCAACTGCAATTTCGATAACGCATTTCACACCGTAACTTATTCATCCAATCACTAATACTATCAACTTTGAAGATTGATAAACACAACATTTATCAGTGAATATTCTCAAAGATTTATTTCGGTGGAATATGTCCCAAAATAAAATAAAGATGTCTCCCACTTATGCAATACGACTCTCCTCAGTCCTCAAGTGTCCAACAAAGGGAAAATCAGAACTCACATATTGTTGTTGGTGGTGCTGTAGATATTTCGATTTCGCAGTGAGTGGTGGACAAACCAATTCTTCAGGTTCTACAAACACTTCATTTTTTCCCTTCTTCCTCGACAACGAGAAACCTTTCTTCATCAACTGAAAACCGTTATTCATTGACAGACTGGTTTTCCGTTTATTATTGATACCAAAATATAGAATCGGATCAACCGTCGTATGAAAACATTCTTGATAAACGAACACGAATTCGAAGTGCGGGTGTGAGTTGTGCAACGAAAGGCTGTGCTAATATATCGCGTTTATGACTGATAATCTCTTGTCCGAGCAACTGATTGAAATGAGTCGCTAAATGTCGCCGTATTAGAGTCTTATGTGCCGGCATTTGAAGCACTTCAGCCAACGATTCAGCTGTAAACGTCGGCTCATAAACCTGCAAAAACTGATAATGAATCATCGCATCACACTACTATCATCACAGAGTGAGTCAATCAATCAACGGCCTAAACAAACTGAATTCAAACAAAATAACTGCTGAAAAAAGCACCATTAAAGCACCGTGTATGCCAGCACAAAGCAGATTCGGTGTAAATTCGGCCAAATCGATTGTTTTCAACCATTGACATGTACAGTGATGTGACCATCGTTCAACTTCATTCGGGCATGGTCCTTTGTTCAGCACGTCCTTAAAAACACTGAACTGGTAATATTTTCCAAGTAAAGTTGCGATGAGAAAACCACAAAATGGATTTTTCGTGCAATTCTATCTGCATAAGTGGTCGATCAATCAACCGGTAAGCAGTTCAAAGAAATAACTGAAAAAAAGATCAATCAAATTTGAATATAAAGTTCACGAAAACGCATCACGAACCGGATTAAAACGCCTCTCCAGACGATGTACACAAAAATCAACGGATCGAAGAAATTGAATGCCACGTGCAATAGTCGCATGATGTAATGCAGATGTTATTTTCATCTAGAACTCATCTTTAATAACAATAATAATAATAATAGCATTGATAATAATAGGAATAATAATAAGAACAAGTAATAGTAATAAATAATAATACTATTATCATTATAATAATATTTTAAAAAATTTTACACTCTGAACGAAAATATGGTGTACAACTGAAAGGATAACTAGGATTGATAAAATTTGAAAATTTCTTTTAGGGGTCAATAGAAAGACGATATTCATCGAGAGTTTACTCAACTGACATCTACCTCGACTAAATCTTGCGCCGTAAGTGTTGTCAGCAATTGTCCATCAATCATGTTTTCGGCGAAATTCTCGCGATATTGCGGTAGACCAATTTCATCCAACCATCGCAAAACCTTTATTTCGTAAAATGATTACACCAACTAACACTCTAATAGATTATCAAAAATCGACTGATTGCAAGGTAAATCACCTGATGTACATCCATACGATCAGCTGCATCTGCGACACCCTTATCAATATTCTTCAGAATACAACGTAAACGTTTTCGATGCAGTGGATTACGCATCAGCAGTTCCTTCAAATATCACATTCAGTCACCATATAGACATCGCAGTTCATTAAAACCAACCTTATCAAAATCATGATTGCTCATCGTCAGCAAATGTCGACCACTTCGCACGAATCTTTCCACTTCAGGCACATAAACGCTGAACCCGATTTCTGCCATCCATTCACAAATCTGCTCAGTGTTCCATTCGACAAACTGCTCCACTGGAGGACGTACAGCTATGGCGCCACATACGGGCCCAACACTGGGCAAGCGTGCCATTGTTGTCGACCTAAAAATGAGACACTTATAAACAACACTTTTAATTTTTTGTATTATTCGAACAGATTACTATTATTGCTATTAGGCTCATAATAATTACTCAAAAATAACAACGCTAAACTTTTTACCTTGTAGCACTACCTCGACGAAATTCGGCTGATCGAATCTCTTGTGATGAACTTCTTGTTAGTTTACCCAAAAGATTTCTTAGCGATGACCTAAAATATGCTAATCGAAATATATTTACATAAAGTGACACGTAATAAACGTCATAATCTTTGTTTGAATTGAATTAATGTTGCCATAATACTAGCATGTTACGATAAAATTCATAGAACAAAGTGCAATTTTATTCAATTATAGTGGAAAAAAGATGCGATTCGATTCGATCATTTACCTCGTTTTATCTCGTTTCATTTTTGAATTCTCAACTGATGCAGTTTGGGTGCGTTGTCGACGCATTATTTCATCGTCACTTTCAACTAAAACACTTATTATATATCATCAAAACATCTTTTTGTTCCCTTCCCTTCCCACTACAAACAAACACACAAATATAACGAAATTCAAACAATTTCAGATTTGCAGCATTGCCCTCATTTTTTGACGTCTAAATATCGAATGCTCAATGTTCACTGATCATTTTCAATAGTACATCTACGCACCTGGCCAACTCTACTCCCAAACGCTTGCGCAAGATAGTCGATAACTCGAAACTGTCGACTGGTTTTGTTTTAATCTGAACTATTTGTTTGTCCTCAGCCTTATGGGGGTCCACGCGCAGCAATATTTGTTCAACAATTCGTTAGCTCTATTGTGGATACGACAGATATAACTTACAATAGGTAAAATAATGCTTGCTGGATTAGAAGTCATTAGCCATTAAGCAGTCGAAAATTCGTGCATGCGAAAACGAGATAGGATGACAAATCGAAGCTCTAGAGGGGATTCACTCAGATCTTCTTCATAGCCAGTCACAAATTAACTGAACCCAAATGAACGATCGTTCGTTCCCATAAATACAAAGCAGGAAAAAAATAAGAGGATATATGACTCAAAGCATTACTTCGCAGCCTAAAGCAAAATTACTTGCATGCTAATGTTGATCATCACTTTATAAGATACGTCTGGATTAACTAATTAAACGATCGTTCCTATTCCTAATACCTATTCGATGAGCACACAACTCATATCTTCATTATCGAGCGTCGCTCACTAATATACTGATTATTTGAATCGAAACGATCATGAATGAAGATAAACTTGATTAGTACAAATTATTAGTAATATTTGAATTGTTATTCAGATTGTTCGCAATTGAATATTTGTTAGTTATTAGTGGGTTATTGATAGCACTCAGAGGATGGACTTCAAGACCTAGATTCGGCGCAGATGTTGAGTGTTTGCTGGAACGTGATAGCGATAGTTTATTGTGCAACCATCTGTGCATGTTTCGACGAGGATTTCGATTAGTCGATATTGACAACGTGGCCGCAGGATTGTTATTATGATTAAGAGTATCAACCGATTTTGTTGTTGTTATTGTAGTAGTTTCACCAATACTCATCACGTAATTACTATTATTAGTAGTAGTAATAGCAGTGGTAGTACTATTATCATAATAACCATTATTAAAATCATTCTGATCATTCAGTATATTCATCACAGTCAGATCATCCAACTCACCCGATATACCACCTGATGACGATGTCATCGAAAGCTTCTTTCTTGGTAGTGTGTACGCTGAGACAGCCTTCAATATTTACATCATTTCAATGCAAAACACTGTTATTATTATCATTCATTGATAGTATCAAAATCTACTGAAATGACAAATAAACAATAAACAAATACACAAACGAATCAACACACTTTTGTAGCACTGAGTGATCTCGGTAAACTCATCGTGCTAAACGCATTACTGCTATTATTCTGTAAATGATGCTGTTGCAAATCTCCACCAATGCGTCGTAGCTCATCTAATTCAGCAGCCAATTGCCGTGCGGCTGGAGATGATGGTGAACGATAACTGTATTTGATGATAATGATAATGAAGATCGTTTATCAATCACGTTAATATTTCATTGTTATGATATATTAAGATATTTCTATATCGTTTACTCGGTAAAAATCAAGCAATGCAATGAAATATCAAACGAAGAATGAAAGTTACCTCTGCGGTGCAGATGGACCAGGTACAGGTGATGATGTACTAGCGACTATATTATTGATGAGAACTGATGACGAGCCAGACGATGACTGGTTGTGATTCTGTTGATGTCTTGGAGTTCCTGAGTTTGAGCAACTGTGCTGCGGTGATGCGGCTGATAACGAAGATGTATATGACGAAGATGACTGGAAATTATTCACAGTGCGATATTTTAGTGTAACATATATCTACTGGTATTATCCTTCCTATTATTATTACCATTATGGATATGACAATAACGACGAGATGTTAATGCGAACGAATCAATGAGTGCAACAGTAAAGAGAACCTGAACTGCTGATGTTGTCCTCGACGACGAAGATGCAGCGTTGTTCGGTTGTTGCACACCACATAAACTCGTCGGGAACGACGACGAGTGTGCCATATGATCATTCACGTCATCCTCAACAACAATACTTATCCCTTTTTGTCGCGAAACATTACAATTTTCATATTTTTATTCCGATTACCTCAAGAGTTTAAGAATATTTCAAAGATAACAGATATTACTGATCGTACTGAACGATTAAGTTTGTTCTAAGACACAAACTAATAAAATGATGTGAATCCACGAGAAGACTCACACTTGTGCTCTTATGTTCGGTGAGTGCAAATCGCACGTATTCATCAACTGAATGTGATAACTAACTAAGTGCAACTCACTTATTGTTAAATGAACCAGTCAGTGCGAATCAGGTAGTATTGAAAAAAGATCGGAACTAAGTTGTAAGGGTTACATGCACTTATAACTTACAATAAGTAATTTTCTGAGCTGTACATTAATATCAAATGGTTGTTGTTGTTGCGAGTTGATCGAATCGTTATAAAAGTTTGATAACTGATTATTAAGATTATTTGTATTATTGACCATCGGTGGCTGTTGATTTTGATAGACAAATTGTTTTTGTGGTATAATATAGGTTGCGGATGATGGCATATTAATGAAGTTCGCAGCAGATGCAACTGTGGACACGGCCATATCACGTTCATTACGACAATGCTCATCTAGAGCGTTCCGCAACGAATTGATTTGAATATTCTTCAAGTTTTGCACTATTTTTATCGAACATATTTTTTCTTCATTAAGTGACGATGAAATAATCATTATCATTGTGGAAAAAAATTCAGATTATTCAGAAAATTTAGAATATCCAAAAAAAATTTCTTCGAACAGTTTATTTTAAAGACTAACTTTTTGTTCGTTATCAACGATAAGCCTCTGGACTGCCATTCGAAGCTGTTCCATTTCAGAAGCTAGAAAGAAAATTCAAACTCAATGTTATGTGTGATGTTCAATAAGAATAATCACGATGATCATAAAACCTAAAATCAGAAAATAAAAACCTGATTCTGGATCCATTCGAATCGCTGTTGGTTCAGTTGGTATGGCGTGCGGAAATGGGCATTGTACTTGCAAATGAGCATTATGTAACTGATGCTGTTGCATCATGAAGCCTTGCATCGATTCATTCAAGTGTTCTATTTCAGCCTTTAATTTTCAATCACACTTTGCAAATGACTGATTAATAACGGTACCATCGAACTGCATTCAAGCTCAGTTCAAAGCCGTATCCAGTTCGATGCACTTTCAACAGCGCTTCTCAACCCTATCCTTTCTCAGTTAATCACATACATCCTTACCTAATTCATCATTTTAAACGTCTAGTTTGGAGAGTTGCAATGGAATTAGATCAACTCTATAAGCTGTGTTTTTTTTTTCAAGTGAGAGTTTCTTGATAGAGAGTTTAAAGATGCCATGAAAAGATGAATTGATGAAAGCAGACTGATTGAAATAAACGAATGAATAATACTTGAGACAATCGAAGTTTTCGCTCGGTCTCAAGTTTCTCTCGTTCCAGCGTGGCATATTTTAGCTTTAAATTTGATACTTCAGCGAGTAAATCCAATTTTTTCGACTCCAAATCGCCACGATTATCTGCATGCTGCAAGAAACAATGGTACTAAGTATGTTGCTTGTTATGTCAGTGTTATTGAACGCGAAAACCTTCGAGGAGAATCAATTGAGTAAAATGCATTTTTATTCTATTCTGACTATCTATACGTGGATAAATAACAGCACACATTCGAATGAGCGTTTTTGGGTAAATATGAACGACGAAAATTTGTTCAAATGAATCGAATTTCTTTAATTTCGTCGTCGTCGTTTCAGTTGATATATGCTACCTGTTAAGCGACAAACAACTAAGCAACACCACTAAAAACAGCAAATATATCTTCAAACAGACTTACATCTTGCAGCAATTCTTCCGTGGAATCGAGTTTATGTCTTTTTGAAGTGAGCAAACTTTCCAAATCACGAATTTTCTCTTTTTGCGCACCCACTTGTTCAGTTAACACTGTTACCTGCATTTGTCGATAAACTAACAATAAGCAACTAATAATAACAAAAAATGATAATAGATACATAACGCATGAATAGATGGGTGGACGTGAACACATTGAGAACTGTGTTAAATGAATTGAATGAATGCAATGGTAGTAAATTTGAAGTGAAGTTTCAAGTTATATTCAATTAGTTCTGTGGTATGTGCGTGTGTCTGATGAAGAAAAAACACGCGATTATAGAACATAGGATGCGATAAAGTGAATGAACATAGATCATAAAACGCAAGATGCTACTGCTGCTAACAGCTATTTTATCCATCAATCTATCCAACCACCCATTCATTTGTTCATCTACATCATTTATCCATCCATCCACCCAGCTGAATAGTACATTTGATACAACAATCAGCAGTCAGTCATCTGAATACATACATACGACTGAAAACAGATAATGATGGTGATAGCAGTGGTGGATGACGAGCAAAATGATACACAATCCAAATTGGTTGCCGAATTATGGGATGCACAAAATGAAATAGTAGCACCAGCTGGCGGCAATCGCAATAGCATTAGCAGGAAGAAGATGAATAAGAAATAGAAAGGGAAGCTTTTACGGATACTTCCACAACACTGAATTTGAATCATACTTCTATTACTACTAATGCTCTGATAGTAATACTACTACTACTACCACTACTACTACTACTGTAACTATTACAACTACTAACACACTACTTACGGCGACAATGATGGTGTTGTGCATGAGGATGTTGACCAAACAACAACAAAAACAAATTCACTTTCCTACACCCTGAAGCAACTCAAACTAAAACTCGCCACTACTGCTGATTGTCTATCCATTTATCTCATTTCAATTTTAATTATTTCTATTCCACTCGTTCGTCCATTCAATGCTTATAATCTTAACCAAGCATCAGTCAAGCAGTCATCAACTGTTCAAGCATAGCCATCAGCCATTACAGAGCCATAACCAATTATCGCCAACAATGAATAAACACACAAACAAGCGATTAATTCAATAACTCTGAGGTTTTCACTTCAACTTTCGATCAGCATTTAAATGTGTGAACTGACCGTAGTTCACTGCACTATCATGCACAACAGATTAAAATACTCAGAACTAATTGTAGCTCGTATGTGCGTTATTGTGCTATACCTATCTGTTTAATTCTTAAAAATATAACACCAAAACTCTATATTTGCTTGTTTGACCATACAAGTTCTTTCGCTTTCTGTCGAACTGACGACAAATGGAGTGTTACAGAATACACTTCGATGAAGGAGTCCAAATGAATCACGATACCAACTAATGCCTCAATATGACGATAAATTGGTGGTCACGCCAATCATGAATCCTCTATTGATATAGCGCTACTAGCAAAGGTTATGAATTCAGCCCACTATTCAATTTATGTTTTTAGTTTCCAAAACCTTTCCCAAATACTGAATGAACGAACAGATGTAATGCTGCGTGTTGAAGAAGAGAACAAAATGAAGGTGCAAAACAAATTTGCTGATAGATAATGAATGGACTAAAAAGAACGGAACACAAGAAAAGAGATGAGAACGGATATGGGTGGCTGGATGGATGCGAAATATAACAAAGTATAATATGATATATGGATGAAAGAGTTGGCTCAAAGAATTAACCAGTCTTTATAATAATCTTCTATGGTTTATTCGTACTTAAATAGACTTATCTCAGTGAAAAAATGAACGGACGAAAACAAATTGCTGAAGTGAACGGCTTAAGGGTAATGGATTAGTAATATGAGACAAATGAAATAATAAGCACTCTTTGCTTCACCATAGATGTACTCTTATTCTCTTGCAGCAAAGTAAAGATGATGAATTTTGATAATGATAATCACAATTATGACTTAGATTTTACTTCATAACGAATACAGACCGACATTTTATACTACATGTCTGAACGAATGCAGGAATGAGCAAAAAAGAAAAATACCAACCTGTAATGAAAGACTATCACGCGCCATTGCAAGTCGGTGTAGTTTTTCCTGAAGTTCCGGATATTCTGGGCATGACACCGTTGACATTGATGGTGATGGACTCTAAACGGAAGTGATTCACTCATTCGGTAAACAACTGAACACATGAATGGATAAATAAATGAATAAATAATTACACATTTTTAAGATAGTGTCAAATGAATCACAGATGCTTATGGTGTACAAATCCTTATGTGCCGTAACAATACAGGATATATTCACAAAAATATTAGCACAACCGGCTGATCAAGCCATACAGCTACCATATAGATAAACCTAATTAAGGATTCCTGCATTCATATTTTAAGGTAATCTCATATTCAGATAATAAACATAAATTAGTGGAAGAAATAAATTCTGTTCAAATCCGATTTTTTATTTTCGACAAATTTATTTTCGCAGAAATCAAAGTGATTGCGTTGGGATGGCTGGCAAACACTATTGCGAAACGGAAATCGATTAAGGAACCAAAATGTTTCTAGTGAGAATTTGTATGATAAAATTGTTATCATTATGCAATAGTTTAATACTGCTGAGTGAATGAAATCAATTATAGCACAAACTTGTTACACCAACGGCACAAGATAAAATATTCCAAATGGACATCAGATAAAACACAAGTGAGAACATTTCAAAATTAAAAAGAAATGTCATTCGCATATATCCCCTCCCTTCCCCACCCCATCTCCCGTCTTACTCGTTAACTGTTGATCATATTATCAGTCGAATCATTCAAGCGATTTTTCAACAATAACATCATTGAATCGCTCTTTTTATCTTCCAACGATCATTATATAAGATTATCAGATATAGTAATCAATCTGACGAGATGCGATTTGGAAGTGCGATTTAAGTGAATAATGATATCATTACTTTTTAAACGAATAGACAACAAGACGTTCAAGGAATTTTACAAACTAAGCTGAAATGTTTCTGCAATGTAGAAAAAAAAACCAACAAACAATCAGTTATCATGAAGAGAATACATATATAACCAAGTGTAGGAATAATCCCGCTCAGAAGCAAACTATCATGCCATTAATCGTGCGAAATACTCTTAAATAAATCCATTCATTTATATACTTCATCATCATCATCAACACAGTCTGCTCAAATAAATAAAGTGAAACAAACTAAAATATATACTTATCTACATGGGGATTTCAACTATCATTAATACTTTTTACTTCAACAGAAATGCAAAAAAATGATAATTATAACAACAATGATAATA